AAAACACTCAAGATTAATTTGGGGTTTGTTGAGGGAAGAGGATCACAGAAAAAGAATATTTGTACTCTCCCTGCAAGGAGCAATCCAGAAGAGTAAATCTTAGAATTCACTAGCTGTTGCTTTGTGTTGGCCACAGTGAAACTCAACTGGATGGTGCTTATAGCAGATTACTTCTGTGGATTGAAGGGCAGAAGAGTTTTAAAAGTGGATTTTTGAGACCTCCATGCAGCCTTTCCTGTGTCAGTAGGGTAATGTCTTCAATTTTGCTCAGTCTTCAGCCGTGTAATGCTCATGTGTTAGAGTAGTTGTACTTGCAGGCTGTTTTAACTCCAATTTCTGATACAAAGGAAAAAATTGTTGCTAGAATGTTTTAGCTTTTGTGTCCTAGTCTTTCTCATGCCTCTTATGGCATAGTCTGTATTAGTATTACTTATATGAAGTGTTTAAGTGAAGTGATGCCTGAATTGTTGGTTCTTGAGAGGTGCAGGGCGGTTCAATGGTAAGGCTGTGGTTATTTTGCTGTGTCTCGTTTTGGCGCAGTTTTTGTCAACTGAGGATTTATCTGCCAAGTGACAAAGAGCAACTTCTAACATTTGAGGCAATTGTACATGAGCTGCATTGCTAAAGTCAAAATCGTAATGAGATACGTTGATCCTGTCTTTCAGGATCTGGCTTCCTGCCCTTCACCTTTTTCTTTTTAAAGAATACATGGTCATAACCTTAGCAGCAAGCACAGGAGAACATGGATGCACATAAACATTTGACCTGCTGAGGAAAACTAATAATCTATTCAATCCCGAGATCTGTAAGCCAGGAGTGAGTTATTTAATGACATCATGTGTTTGCTTTCCATCGTTTATACGATGCAGTCTTGTCTGGACCTTTCTGTTCTCTGTAGAGGCATTTCAGAGGAGCTCCTGATGGTTAGGTTATCTTGGTTGGTTCCCAGCCCAGTGATTTTGAAACAGCACCGCGGAAACAAGTCACATGTGGAATACATCGTGAGGTTTGAAAAAGGCTTCCTGTAATGGAAAGATAAGCCTTGATCCTCCTGCTTGATCCTCAAGCAGTTGCCCTCATTTGGCAAGGTCTTTGAGCTAACCCTGTTTCCTATTGCAGTACATCTGGGTCACTGGAAAAATATGTGTTTAGGAGGAATGCATGAAGTAGGCAAACCAGGTTACATCATCCTCAGAGCTTGTCAGGCCATGACTGCTTTCTAGCTCATACTGAATCTTGTTCGGGGAAATCCAGGTAACTTGGATGTTATTTTCATCCAGCTCATGGTCACAGAGAAGCGTGAGGGCTCTTGAAAGCTGTATTCTGAGCGTCTGTCAGATTTGTGCCAGCTTACATCAGGAGGAGGTAGGTTAGAGGACTTGAATTATCTTTAATTCATGAAAGTAGTCATTTAGGGCACTTCTGAAGAGTCAGCTGCTTGTGGCAGGAGTGGAGTTTGCTGCTACTTACATAGCCAACGCCATAAGCCTTGCCCTTATAGCTGCATATTAAAGTTTTGGGTACATCAAATGGTACGTGTTGGTTGGGGGAAAGATGTTCATGTGCTTTCGCATCTTCTAGGTGATAATGTGCAATACGCATTAACGCAGGAGCAATTGTATGAGGTTCAACAAGGCCAAGTGCTGGGTCCTGCATTGGGTCACAACAACCCCATGCAACACTACAGGCTTGGGGAAGAGTGGCTGGAAAGCTGCCCAGGAGGAAAGGACCTGGGGGTGTTGGTGAACAGCTGGCTGAATATGAACCAGCAGTGTGCCCAGGTGGCCAAGAAGGCCAACAGCATCCTGGCTTGTATCCAAAATAGTGTGGCCAGCAGGACTAGGGAAGTGATTGTCCCCCTGTACTCAGCACTGGTAAGGTTGCATCTGGTTTTGGGCCCCTCTCTACCAGAAAGACCTTGAGGTGCTGGAGCATGTCCAAAGAAGCTGGTGATGGGTCTAGCACAAGTCTTAGGAGAAGCAGCTGAGAGAACTGGGGTTGTTTAGCCTGGAGAAAAGGAGGTTGAGGGGGGGAGACCTTATCAGTCTCTACAACTACCTGAAAGGAGGTTGTAGCCAGGTGGGTGTTGGTCTCTTCTCCCAAGTAACGTGCTAGGATGAGAGGAAATGGTCTCAAGTTGCACCAGGGGAGGTTTAGATTGGATGTTAGGAAAAATATTTTCACCAAAAGAGTTGTCAATCATTGGAACAGGCTGCCCGGGGAAGTGGTTGAGTCACCATTCCTGGAGGTATTTGGAGAAACTCCTAAATGTGGTGCTTAGGGACATGGTTTAGTGGTAGACTTGGCAGTGTTTGGTTTATGGTTGGACTCGATCTTAAAAGTCTTTTCCAACCTAAATGATTCTATGAATACCATGCAAAACTCGTGCAGTATGTTGAAGTATTGTGGGTAGCATAAAAACCTCATAAGGTTTGGTGGGTAGGTGCAAAACTTCTCTTTACAATGCAGATGCCTTGATCTTTCTGTGCTTCTGTCATGCCATGCCATTGAATTAGTCCCACATCTAGCAGAACATAAAAATCAAAACAGAGGAGAGAAGCAAAACAAAGAGAATGTGAACTAAATGCAGTTCTTTAATTCTCAAAATTCATTGTTGTGAAGTAGCATAGACAGGGTTTAATGATCATATGTATTACTGGTTTACGTGTCTCCTTTTACTTGTACTATGAGAGGATGATGAAATCACTGTAATTCCATTTCCACTCTTTTTTTTTTTTTCCTCCCCCTCTAATCTTTCATGTAAATCTTCTTGATACATGGAAAATGAATCTTCTGAATGAAAGTAATCAACCTCAGTAATGGAGTACTCTGTGCAGTGACTTGTTATCAATAAAACTTTTCTGTTCTCTAAGAGGCAAACATTCAGCATATTCATCAGGCTATATCTACACTGAATCAAACAATTCATATTCATGAGACTGGTTGTTGTTGGTTTTGTTTTTCTCTTGGTGTACGGGTTGCCTTAGCAGGCATAAATTAATTTTGATTTTTTCAGGACATTTATTTTCTGTATTTTACAATTAATACCTTGAAAGCTCTGACCTAAGAAGAAATGGTGGTGGATTTTTATTGACTTGTCGTGAGAGGGAAAGAAGAATTTCTCTTGTTGCAGAAAGCAAAGTGCTAAAATACAAGTACATCACTTTCTCGCATACATTTGCACATCCATGGAGTTCCTGAGCCGTCTGGTATTTCCTCTGCACTGCTGGTAGTTGTACCTCCTCATCAGATTCAAAAAGTTTGTTCTCCAGCCTGGTCCCCAGGTTCCTTCATGTTGTTACCCAGTTCCTGGGATGGCACTGGGAGAGGCACCAGCGTAGGCATGGTTTCAGAGGCTGCTGCTCCTTGTCTATGTTGCAGAATTACAGTAAGAGCAGATACCACTTAGTGGGTTGTTGGCATTTGCTTACTGCTGGTGCTATTACCACTGTCATTTAAAGCATATTTTAAAAAAGAGCATCTTTTTGTAGGGAAGAGTGATGTAGGCAGGGCCTTGCAAGGTGACTTGGCTTAGTAGGAGATATTGGTAAGAGCTATTAAAATGTCCTGAAAATACAAGCATTTATTGTCCAATAATGGTGAACCAAGATCTCAAATTCTGAGTCTTTAACAACACACAAACCCAGCAGTTCTTTGCATGTTGTGTATTCAAGGTGTGTATTTCTGTGTGTGTTACCACTCACCATTTCTTTATTCATTGGTGACTGCTGCTCTTTGAGGATATAGACAGATGAGGAAAACAGCACTGTGAGAGTAGCACTGCATGCTCAGTGATGTGTTAAGTTGCAGTAATATTATTAAATTGCTATAGCTAAATGAGGTTGGTTTTCGGGTACTGTGATACATAGCCAGTGGACCTGCTGACAAGGGATTCCAGTTGAAGACCTGGGAGTTCTGTACTGTTTCCATCCACATAAGTCTTTATGTATCATCTTTCTCTATAGAAAGATCTAGCTGTTAATACAGAAATCACAGGAGAGGTTACTTCTAATTAATTCAGCTGGCTTTCAAAAACAATTTTTCAGGTTGATATAATTATATCCCCCCCCCCCCCCCCCCCCGCTCCATTAAATGTATTCACAGTCCTGATAGGATTTGCACAAAAGACTGAATTAAAATATCAGAAGTCTTTTAAGACCTGTTTTACTGCTGAAATTTCTCAGTTCCACAATTAGGCGCTATGTAATTATAGTCATTTAATTCCTCTTTGTTCCTTCTTTCCTTTGCTAATGTATTCTGTAACAAAGTACCTTATTATAAAGCTATGTCTGTTGGTATTTTTTGTTTTATGTTCACATGAACCTCTAACCTGATCCTAGATATTAAAAGTGATACTTGAGTCTTTGTTTCTGTTTTGCCATGAATAAGTTCAGATGTTTAAGTTGGAGATAACTGGGACATCAAAATACATGTAAACAGAATGGTTCCAAATGTTAACACTGGCTTACTGTCTACAAATGATTAATATGTATTATTAATCCTTTAATAGTTAGGAATTCAGTAAGATCAAAGTAACAGTTCTAAAAGATGCAGGGTTTGTAAACTTTTTTTGATGTGTAGTTGGGGGTGTGTGGATTTGAGTCTTTTAAACTTGCACTTCTTGGGTTTTGGCGGGTAAGGGGACTAGTGGTTAATAGACTGCTTTAAATAATGATGCAGATGTTACCTTGAAATATCTCCTAATGAAAATATTGACTGGGCAGAATGATTACATGCTTGTGCGCATATATAATCAGAAAATGCCTTATGTTGGAGAACATATTAATTAACATGACCTTAAACATAAGTTTGACTTTAGTAGTGCACAAGTGCAAAGCCTAAAGGAAAGACAGTTTGGCGGTAGCTCACACTCACACTGAAGACATATACTTAAAATGTCCACAGCTTTCTCATCTTGTTGGCTTCTCTGAATGCTTTAATTGTACTTCATGCTTCAAATCTATTGCTGATTATTTCTTTTCTTCTCTATTTTCTTTCAGAAAGATGAGGTGTACCTCAACTTGGTGCTGGACTATGTTCCTGAAACAGTATACAGAGTTGCCAGACATTATAGTCGGGCCAAACAGACACTCCCTATGATTTATGTCAAGGTAGGTAACTGACAGATGTGGTTAGATGAAGAAGGATATTATAAGAATAGACTTTGTGGATGCCTCTTTTCTGACATAATAAGTTTTCTGAAATTTTTAGGTGCACATACGTCTTGAGGCAAGAAAAAAAAAAAATTAGAATGATTATTTGTTACAGTGAAGGAAGAATAGAGGTGAGGGACTTAAAGAAGCACTCCTGATTTCTCGCTTTACAAAAATCTTGGAATGGGTGAGGGAGACCAAGTGTGGGGGAAGTGTTTTGGTTTTTAAGCAGCTTAGATAGAGACAGACAGCAGCCAGATTAGCAGCTTCAGTTTCCTGACATTATGAAGACACAATAGTACAAAGTTCAGTAACTGGAAGAGGATGTCAGGAAGAATACTGTTCTCTTATCTGTTATCTTCCCCCTTCCCTGGCATATGAGTTAGAGTTCACGTGCTTCTGTTGTGGGCCTGAAAGGCGTATTTTTGTCCTCTTCCCTCCTGCACTTGGAACTCAGTGGCTCTTATCTTGAAAAGCTACATGAGGTAAAATGTTTATATGCGTGTTGTAGCCTCAAAACCTTGCTTAAGTTGCCTGCATCTCTTGTCATCTTTTATGAAGTGGCTAAAATAAATAAAACAGCTTTTTTTTCCTTTTTTTTAACTGAACATGGGACTCATCATTCCATTTCCTATATTGTGACTACAATCCACACGCTAGTGAATGATCATGTTGTCATTTGGCATTACCTTGTTAATGTCACATCCAGGTGGCATTAAACGGAAATTAGCAACAAATATTCCTGATTTGTATTGATTTCTCCAGTCTCCTCTTTAAAAGTGTAATGCTTTAATATGAGGATGGGCTTAAGAAAAAACTTCAATTTGAGTCAAAGATGATGAAAGTTAAAATAGTAATTATTCCAGTAAGAAAGTGTTGTGCCATAACTGTACATGCATAAATTGTAAATGTCATTTCTCTGCAATAGTCAGCATTGATGTCTGTTTTTAAGAAAGCACAGAATCTTATAATCCAGCAGTTAAGAGTTTCTATTCTCTGGTCTGTTGGTGGAACAGCGTGTCTTCAGGTTATATGCTCCCCAAAATTTGTTAGCTTAGCTTTTGATAAACTGTTTCTGTATCTTTCATCAGTACTCTTCCCCTAATTGCTCTTCATTATGAGGACTTGGGAAAAATTTTTCTTGCTTATCCTTTGAGAGAAAATTCTGTTTCAACTCTTTTTCATCTTGTTGGATACTTGGGACTTCCCATTCCAGATAGCCTGGAAGGCTGTTCTTATTTTTCTGGCAAGGCAAGCATTTCTTATAATCCTGTATTTAAAAAGATGTTACCTCAAAGTTATTAAAGCTTTTGCAATTTTCCAGGCATCTTGGCTACATAAAGGTCAGATTATACCTATTCACTTCTGATTGATACCTGGGGAAGCAGAGAGCTGCTCTTCCCTGGGTAACAAAGAAGCTGTTAAAGAACTGCAAGGAAGCTTTTCTAGTAATTTTTTTGTTAATTTTTATTTCTAACTTCCAACATGCTATAAGAAATTCTTGGAAATTTTGGGTTTGCTGTGTGGAGATGAAAGGCATACTTTTCTAAATCCTGCATGTGTTGACTCCTCAAGTTAGAGCACTCTTTTGGATTATTTTGCAATACACTTGCACAATATACACTTAACGTGTCTAGAACAGGCAATCCAGAAAGCCCGTTTGTTTGCTTTTCTTTGTGCAAAGTTGTGGTTTTGAGACACAAATATGAAAACTAAAGACCTAGAGCCAAAATTCAGGCAATTCTCTTCCTGCTCCTACCTTCCCCACCAATCAAGCAACAAAAAACAAGGGAGAGAGAAAGAGTGAAAGACAAAGATAGCGGTGAAAGTGAGGCAAACATGACCTGATAGCAATATCTAGCAATTGCACCTGGTTTTACAGACCATTAAAGGTGAACTGTGGAGAATGTGCTTAGAAAAGGAAAGCATGGAGGTGCATCTCCAGTGCAATTGTCCTGCCTGTAGTTTGGTTTTAAATGGAACCTTGCAGGGGACACAACAAAGATAAATAACCTGTTGTCATGCTTTTGAAACAGGGCTTCTCATGTCTTTATGACTGCTGTACAGCCCTAATTGTGTCCAATAGGTTTTATTCTCCATAGCTACAAGTGTGTAGCTCCAGCAGATGGACATCTTCTCCTTGCCCTGTGAAGCTCTTGTCTTCTTAACACCTCCGCTTGCTGTATTCCCCCTTGCTAAGGGGCTGGTTAGCCTTGGATCGGGGGCAGAGCAAACCTTCCTTCAGCATACTCGTTTGCTGTGCCTTCCATAAAATTATTCTGAACAGTTGTTTTTATCTGCCCTCTCTTTGCACAGAGATTTGAAATTAAAACGAGCCTGTTCCCTCACCAAGAGGAACTGGGGAGATTCCCTCAAGTGACAGGCTGAAGCACTACCATAGTCCTTGGGCAACACTTAATATGTTGTTAATAACTTAACTAAAGGGTTTTCTTTTGTCATTCTTCCCCACCCCACCCCCCCTTACATAAACTGGAATACTTCATTTCTATGAAGAGGCTTATTTATAAAGCAAACTGAAACACCTTTATTTTGTGTATGGTTTTTATGACTACCATTATTTATAAATGTTGGAAAGCTGACGCAATTATTTTTCTGGAATTGTGCTCATTTTTGGAAGGACAGATGAACGGATTTGAACTGGATGTGTGGGTATGTGGTAAAGGGCTGGTGGGGAAGGTATGCAAATACCTTGTCCATCTTCAGTGCATTAATATGCAATCAGTAGGGTCTCTTTTGAGTGATTTTGGTTTTCTTTCAATAAGAGTTTGTGCTAAATTAATTCTCTACCCTGTTTTGACTGGGAAGGCGTGCCTTATGCAGTGTTTCTGTGTTCCAGTTGTACATGTACCAGCTGTTCCGGAGTTTAGCCTATATCCATTCCTTTGGGATCTGCCACCGGGATATAAAACCACAGAACCTCTTGCTGGACCCTGATACAGCTGTTCTAAAACTCTGTGACTTTGGAAGGTAAGTGCTTCTGTGGCCTGAAGCCTGGTGAAAACAGCTTTTTTCAAAGTGAGCCTTGTTGCAATTTTGCAAAGAAACCCGCTGTGTTCCTCAGAAGGTTTTCACTTGTAGCTTTGAAAGACAAATTATCAATACTGTATTTTCCTTTTAAAAGGAGGGGGCGGGGGGAAGAGTTGGAAAAGGATTTCAAGAGAGAGGGAATTAAAGTTCAAGCTTTTTATTTTTGCAGGTATTAAATAAAATAAATAAGCCATCACATAGGGAAAATATTGTGCCATGGAAAAATGCAACCAAATGGGGTGAAATATGTTTGGGGAAGAGAGGACAGGTGCAGTGTCATAGTAACCTAAAAAGGCTAATGTTACACTTTATTAGTTTACTTGTATGTACACCAATTCACTTAATATTTCAAATACTGCAGAGGCTCAAGATCAGAAGCAACGCTAATGGAAGCTCTTAGTGGATATCCGTATCCTAGCTTCCAGTGGCACATTTCTTTCCAGTATTCATTTAAGTGAATCAATCACCTTTAGAGTCCAGCCCTCATCTTAAAACTGATACAGAAATTCTGGGAATCCACACTGAGACATGAGACAGATTTCTCTCTGGGAAAGTTAAGTCTTTAGATTGTGCTATAATTTTGCAGACTAAAATAGTTAAGGGTATATGTGCGAGAGGTCATGGAAGCTGCTGTTGCTAAATTTGCTTGCCCTGTAGTGAGTGGGAATGTCAGATGGTGGTTATTCAAGCAATGCATCGTCATGCCTGGTGGCTCGGGAATCTCTTCCTCAGCTCTACCTCACCAATGTTGGAGCAAAATAGGAATTGCACTGAAACTCAAAAGTAACAATGCATAAAAAGGTGGTAATTTCCTCTGTATTAGTGGTGAGAAATTGTTAATTGTAGTTTCTATGTTGAAAATAGAAAGCTGAGACTCTCTAAAACAGGCTGAATGGGTGGTGGGAATCCTTCTTCCCTGATGGCTGAGAGGAGTGTCGGGAAGGCTGGATGCTGCATTTGTCTGGCTTGCCACTCAGCTGGGTTTGGTGCTATTTAGTTTAATGTCATATTTCTAAAAGGGCTGTTTTGTCTTCCAACTCCTTTCCATCTAACACATGGTGTTAAGAAGGAAGTATAGTATGTTCATAGACTCACGTTTCAAAAGTAATGTGCTCTTATATTCCTTTATTTTCTTAGATGCTTCCAAAGGTAGTGATTACTGTAGGTTAGATCCTTTGTGGCTGATCTCTTGCAGTATAAATGAAGCCGTCATATTAATCGCGAACCATTAATATGTGACTATACTGGCAAAGTTTTGTTGGGTTTTTTTTTCCTTTGTCTCCTCATACCCCTTTTGCCTCCTCATACCCCTTTTGCCTCCTCATACCCCTTTTGCCTCACACCACACTCCCTTAAACAGCAAAGAGCCAGAATATTCTGATGGAAATTTTAAAAATAAATTTTAAAAAACAAACAAAAAACCCAACTGCCCCAACAGCAATAAAAATACCAACCAAAACAACCAACCAGCCCTTTCTCCTTCTGGTGCATATCCAGAGCTGTTGAACCTTGAAAGATAACTACGTAACCATATTCTATCTTCTTTTTCTTTAAACAAACCTTTATACCTGACAAAAGACAACTGCCAGCCAAAAATATGACCCTATTTATCACCTAAACTGTAGTCAGAATTTCCTTTGCTATGCCCAGTATAAGGTAGCTGCTTGATGGATTGGACTGATTTCACAGTAAATCATTGAGTCTGTGGCTTGCATTAGCTTAGAAGGAACATGGTGCTTTAGCGTTTAGGAATTGGGGGTGGGTGAAGAGTGCCAAATCTTAGTGCTGGTCTGCACTGCAATATTGTGAAACTATTTGTTACTGAAAGACCATTTTTTTGTTTCCTTTTCAGTGCAAAACAGCTGGTTCGTGGAGAACCTAATGTCTCATACATCTGTTCTCGGTACTACAGGGCACCAGAGTTGATCTTTGGAGCCACCGATTATACCTCCAGTATAGGTATGTATATGTATTTGTTAAAAATCTATACTGACTGCATGAGTGTTTATTCTGTAGTTAAATGTAAAGGTTTCCAGATATCTTGGATATAATCCCAGAGGTAGAATTTTATTGTAAATGGTCAGGTACCACTTCTTAATGAAGTGCACATATTTTGTAGACAGCTCCTGTGATTTCTATGCCTTTTGAGACATATTAGTGTCAATTACATTAGGGAAGGGGCTTTTTTAATGTATGGGGGGGAAATCAGATTTCAGACAAAACATTTTCCAGATCTCCAGGTAATTTTGCTATTTAATTTAAAAGTAGGTATGAGATCTCAAGCCAAAAAAACATTCTGATGACTTAAAATAACTGTAAGGATTGACTGTGCAAATATCAACTGCTTCTGATATGCTGTGATTTAGACACAAATAATTCTGTACCTTATTTACGTGGCTTTTAGTAAAGTGTTTTTAGTAGGAGAGAAAATGTGGCCTAATGATTGGCTTTAAACTCACTTGACAGTTTTAGTACATTGTGTATAGCAGTCTTTTTGATTCAATTTATTCTGTTAACTTTTGCTTTAGTAATTAATTTTGAACATTAAGACTTCTTTCTAATACCTGGTACATAGCTGTACCACGGAAATGTTAGGGAAGCTGGAGGTTTCAGCAGAGGACAGAGAACAGCCGGGTTTTCTTAGAGTGGAGTCCTAAAAATGAACAGCAATGTGTTGGCTGGTTGTGGGTAACTTCAGGTTTTTAGTCAAGATATTCCCTGGGCTCCTTCTGAGTGCTAGTGCTAAAGAGATGGGATTTAGCTTTCAGGTTCCTCGATATTGTGCTAAGCTTTTACCTCACTTATGGACTTGAGTTTCTTAGGCAAGGTTTAATATGTCCAAAAGGATTTGGAGATTATGATCAAGTCTTGGCAGAGTATGTTTAGAAGCAGTTAAAGTATGTTTAAAGTTACTATGTTCTATTTGTTAAACTCAGTGGCTGGCTGGCTTGTTCCAACTCTGCAGTTCTTTGAGAATAGAAGTGTTCCTGAAGACTTACCTGCTCTCACTAATTTTTTTCTTCATTAGTTATTCTTTGTTATGTATTATAGCAACACTTATGTGTCTCCCCTGTAGGAAAAAAAAGAGGCAGAACCATAAGAAGTCTGGGCAAAGTAATGGCACAATAAGGATAAAAGGGCAGAACTTACTTAATGGTTGATCGCTGCCAGAAGTGACAGCCCCAGCCCTACTCTTTCTTGCCCCTGGATACCCCAGCTCTCATGGTTTACTGTTTAATATGCCGATTCAGCTTCAACTAATGAGACTTTTGGTTAGGTTAACTTTCTACTACCTTAGTGAGTTGAATCAGCATTACTGTGTAGTCCAATAAGCAGCAGAGCCCAGGTAAAAGCAAAGTGGCAGGAGCTTGTGAGTGAGAGGAAGGTGGCTCATCCTGGTTGACATCTTTTTGCCAGCTGAGAGGTAATAGATTGGCTCGGTTATCAGAATGCACTGAGACAACTTGTTTCAGAGGATAACTGCATAAAGCAAGTATTTTGGGTCACCAGAAGAGTCTGCTTTATTGATAAGCCTGTGAAATATGTCTTGCTCCAACTGTATAATGACTTTAATCTTGCACTTTCTTGCAGAACCTTTTTAAAGTTGCTCTTTCCATTTTTTGTGTTCTTATCTGCTGGTCTCTAAAATAGTTCTAATTAAAATATCATTCTGAAGTGAGGAGTCCATTTTCCACTTGCCAAAAACATCATGAATTTCAGACATTGTGGTTCAGACTTTCTTGTGCCCCCTCAAAAAAGCCCTGTCCCCCCAAGCCCCTTCTTTGAAACTTGCACAGAACAGCTTGAAAATGAATTTCAGCAAATATTTCTTCCTTCCTATCCTTTCCTCCCTCCACTTCCTTCTCAACAGGGTATTTGCATTTGGGAGTCAAGAAGTAATAAAATGCTTTTACAAACTTAACTTTGCAGTTTCCCAGTATTCTGCATTATATTAGAAATTCTTGGGGTTTAGTTTTGTGATGCTACTGTTTCAGTGGTGGTAAATACCAGGGTATTCCTTAACTTCCTTAGTTTTTGCTAGGTAGGCAGCAACACCGCTTAGTGAGAACTCCTTCCATATTTCACATAGGATTGCTCATCCAAACTCAACCAGCATTATTTGTACACCAACCAACAAGCTCAAATAGGTTTCTTAAAAGAGGGGGAGGGAAAGGAATGTTTAATTATCCGTACTTTATCCATAGCTCAAAGTATAGGGAACAGAATTCACAGAAATGCTTCAGGATCGGAATACTGCATTTTAAACCTTTTTTTAATGTGGACATGCTTGTGTTTTTCTAGTTCTTGTTTTCTTTTGAATTGTTAGCACAACAGGCTTTTCCTGCTATAGAGTCTTATTCTCTGTATAAGAATCCACTTGTGTGTGTGGTAACAAAAACTGAGCTTAAATGTAGGGTAGGGATCTTCACTCTTCTGTTTAAATACACTATCTTAAAACTACGTTCAAAATAAAATCAGTGAAGACTATGAAGCCAAAAAGTGTTCCAAGTAGAATTTTTTGTACATTATCTGTGAGGCATCCAGCTGTTTTCCTATGGTTTTTGTTGTTTGCAATAAGCTCTGCAGTAGCGTTAGCAGCATGTTACAGTCACGTAGTAATTATTGGAAGTATTTCTGAGCAAGAAGTGCTTTTTAAACCTAGACAGTGACGCTGGTGCCCCAAGACTGACAGTACAGCCAGCCTGCATCACAACCATTTCAGTAGTTAGTCATCTTGTTTAGCACTGTAACCAGGAGTTGCATTAGACTGTCTGGCTTCATCTAGGTTGTCTTTTAACACATGGATTTGTTTTTGTGACATTACTTGCTCTTCAATGTAGTAGAAACTAAAGTTGGTTCCAGGATGTGTCTTTTCATCCTGGATGTCACAACAGAACTGTAAATTGGCTTTTAACTTCTAGGACCTTTATTATTTGCATGACTTAAATTCTAACCCAAAAGGTCCCTTTTAAAAATAACTCACAGCCAGGTATAGTGTTTGTTGCAGTTTTATATACAGTGCTAATGCAGTACTTTATGAATGTATATGATAGTAGCATCAAAACACATTTACTGCAGTTAATGCCTCTGTGTGTGTCATCCAGCAGACCTGGGACTATTATTAAAATAATGACCTGGGAAATGACCTATTCAAGTTTTTAAATAATCCATACAAATCCAGACCCTAATAGCTCTGTTCTATGCCTGTGTTACAACTTTAAGGGCTTTTTCAATGGTCAGGCAGAAGCATTCATGTCACTTGGGTGCCTTCATAGCTTGGACAGTTTAGGGCTTTTTGTGCCTTTGAATTCTGCAAGTGTGTGCATGTCCCTGGCTTTGTTCTTGCAGCTGATTTGTAGGAGGTTTTGTTTTGTTTGTTGGTTTGGGGTTGTTTTTGCAAACCAAGCCCTTCAGCTATCCCTTGACAGCATTTTGCCCGAAACTTCTTCCTTGCAGGTCTGTGTGTTACGCCATCCCAGAGTATGCTGCCGGCATGCTGCTGGCTGCGCTCTAGCACTGGTCATCTGGGTGCTACTGCCTGCTGAAAAACTGTGGGATGGCTGCCCACATTCCCCTACAATGTCCTGGGACAAACATAGGTGCTGGAGCAGGGGTGGGTGCAGACATTTATGTTGCCATGTGATCCTCTTGTATAGAGAGAAGCTGAGCAGTTAACCTTTACACCCAGAACATGCGTTATTTTTTTTTTTTTTTTTACTAGGTTATGTGATGGATCAATGGAGGACTCGCTAGAATATGGCAGTGCTTCTGGATAGCAAGGGTCTGTTGGTCTGTGTGTGTTTTCTCCATCATTGCGCTGGCAGGAATTGAGAGTGTTCCAGAGGGAACATTTATAGCCACTGGCAGGGAAAGATTGATCTGTGTGGCTGTATCTCTGGCTTCTCTTGGGGTGTCCAAAAATAAGTATCACAAAGTTATTCATTCACTTTCCTAGTGAGCACTAAGACAGAGGGAGAGAGTATTTCCCCTCAGCAGTCTGGAGCAGAAGCTCCTCTGGAGGCGTGCATAGTCAGGCTGTCTCAAGAATTTCCTGGGGAAGAACCATCACGAGGTGTGTCCCACCAAACCTGTTGCCAAACAGTGAAAAGTATTTGCATCTGTCTCAGATGGCAGCTTCCACGCTGAAAATAGGCATGGGCATTAATTTACTGAAATGTTCTATCAACTGTCATTGTAGTTTCATGTCTTTGTTGCAGAAAAATAAAGATACCTGTGTTTAGCTTTTGTTCAAAGTACTGGAATAACCATGGCTTTCCAAGCATTTCAGGTTTCAGCCTTATTCTGTGTGGATCTGTGGTGGCTTGGTGTGCAAGACTTCCACTGACATAGCACGTGTGCCTGTAATTCAAAATTTTGCTCTCATTCTGACATTCTGAAAAGTGTTCCAGGCAAGCAGCAACGAAAAGCACGTGTGCTCTGGCATTTGGCAAGTAGAAGCTGCTGATTTTATGACTTCCTAGGGCTGATTTTCTGACTCCTGGTTTCTTCCTGGCTAATTTGTTTCCAGAGCAGCAACTTTGAGTCACCTTCAAGATGGAAGAAGTCCATTGAGATTGAGGGATAATGGAGCAGAGATGAATAGATGAGGGAGGGGAAAAAAACTTTAAAAGGTAAATGTGCCCCATAAAGTGTCAGATAAAGGAAACCTCTTAATTTGTACTAAATGGATGAGAGCAGGCTCACCTTTTTTTTTTTTTTTTTTTTTTCCCCCCTTCTTCTTCCTGTCCTCCGAATAAGTTAGAGAGGCTGGAGCCTAATACAGTGAGTGGTACTCATGCTGTAGAAGAGGGCCAGCTTCTCAGCTTGGAAAGGCAGAGTTTGAGATCACAAAAATGAAATTCATGGTCAGGATATTCTGTCACAGACCACAGGAAACAGCCATTGCTTGCTTGTACAATTAAAGCTAGGGAGTTTATTCTGCAGGTTGTTCTGCTGGA